GCCATTTATTTTCTTTCATTTTAATTTTTACTACTGACTCGTGACCATGAACTCTTTCACTTTGGCGACTCAGTGTGGTCAAGGCGGTGCTGCTTTTTATTTACTTTTGTTGAGCATTACAAGAGTGATACTTTTGTCATTTTTTGGAGTTATCTTTATTTTTTTTTTTTTTGCAGCCTGTGGATATTGTTGCCAACACCTTTTGTTAGTGATCTTGATGAAAGGGTTGACTGCAAAGACGAGCAACATTTTCGAACTCCCAAATCACAGTGGAATTTGTATAAAACCGAGCAAATTCTACTAATGCTAATAAACACTGAATATTTGGTGGAACTGATTTGTCATGAAAGCTTGGACTAGCGATTCGTTACGTAAATAATACCAGTAAAAAAATCTCGGGAAATTATTGCTTGTTCTGGTGTTCATGCCGCTGTTAAAAAAAACCATTAGCGACGCGTGCGATCGTGCGTTTCTGCTGAATTTGGTGCTGTAATGAGTTTGCTTGGAAACCTAGTAGCTAGGATTTGTGCCATACTGTCCTCGAAGTTCGGGAAGTTAATTGACTAAGCATTCCATTAAAATTTCAGCTCCCCAACTTCTCTGGTTCTTGAGTTAGCAGCTCCTCTGCCAAAAAATTTCATGGGCCCGTACACGAGAACCACGCGTAACTGGGAGCTGATTTTGATATCTTTAACATTTGCTAGGGGCTGGGAGCATACCCTTAAAATTTCAGCCTCCAGCTTTCCTATTTCTTGAGTTAACCATTTTTCCGCCAAAAAATTTTATAGGGCCGTCCTTAAGAAACATGGATGCCTGAGGGCTGAATTCAATAAATTTATGCTGTGCATGTGCTGGAAACATTCCCTGAAAATTTCAGCCTCTCAGCTTTTCTGGTTCCCATGTTAGGGATTTTCGCGTCAGGAACCCTCACGAGACCATAAGCGGGCACTACGCACACCTGCGGGCTGAATTTAAAATCTTTGAATTCTATGTAGACGGTGAAAATAACCTCAAAATTCCAGCTTTCTAGCTTTTCCGGTTCCCGAGTTAGCGATTTTCCCGCCAAAACTTTCACCTTCTCGTGCGCGGGGTGCAGACTTGCGTGAGGGTTGGTACTGCGCTCTGGGATGGCAATTGATTGAGTTAACCATTTTTCCGCCCGTACATGGATACCACGCTTACCCGGGGGCTGGGTTTGAGTCCATTAATACCTACTTGGACGGGGAAACATTTTCATAAAATTTCTGGTTCCCGAGTTAGCAGCTTACCAGCAACTCTGTTCCCGAGTTAACAGCTTACCCGTGAAAAACTCTGACGGGCTCTTACGTGGGCACCACGCGAGAAAGACCACTCATTTCGAAGATGGGGGCTCGTATGCGCATTTAGATTAAGTTCCCCAAGTTTTTCA